GGCGTCCAGGAAGCTCTTCGTCGCCGCGGCGGGCCTCTCTTCGAAATCACAAGCGCCTCGCGTGCGTCCACCATCCCATCCAGAAACGTAACCCCTGGGCGGTCTGCATTGAGCAGGGAAGCGTAGGAGCACGCAGTGGAGCAAAGGTTAGGTGACAGACGTCAAACTGAAGCTCTGGATCAGCCTGAGCAGACCGAGCAGTGAACCACATATGCCTTCGCGGCCGTCGAATAAGGAGGGGTGGAGGAGGACAGATGAGGTCGAGGAGGTGGGAAACGATGGGGCGGAGGAGGGGGAGGAGGAGCAAGAGGAGGCGGATGCTGAATGAGGAGGAGGAGGAGGAGGAGGAGGAAGGCGAGCAGAAACAGTGTGAGTTCGACGAGACACGCTCCCACTCAACATCCAGTGAACCCTAGGCGGAGGAGGTGGGAGGATGAGGAGTAGGAAGTGGAGGAGAGGGAAGACGACGTGGGAGGAGAAGGTGGAGGAGGAGGTGGAGGAGGAGGAGAAGGACGGGGGGAAGAAGGCCACGGCGACGAAGACCACGAGGACGATTCAGCCGTAAAGGTCTTCGGGCATATTTCGCTATGGGAGCCTCTTGGAGGCCTCTTTGAACCATCGTTGGGCCATGTTGGTGATCTTTGAAGACCCTGTGGGGCTCTCTGGGGGGCCCTCTCGGTGGGTGTGTTATGGACCCTCGTGGGGCCATCTGCGAAGCTTCCGAGCTAAAAGAATGGAACGAAATTCTAGACGCTTCAGCGTAATCCCGCCAGCCCATCCAGAAACGATGCCCAGTCGAGGCGCCCAGGGGGAGGAGGAGGAGGAGGAGGAGGAGGGAGGAGGAGGAGGAGAGGAGGAGGAGGAGGGGGGAGGAGAGGAGGAGGAGGAGGAGGAGGAGGAGGAGGAGGAGGAGGAGGAGGAGGAGGAGAAGGAGGAACAGAAGAAGGGGCAGATTGGCGAGCCCAGGGCCGTCTTTGAGCGGCTGGGGTGCCTCGGGTGTCCTCTCGAGGCGTCTTGGGGGTCTCTTGGGAGCCTCTTGGAGGCCCTTCGGGCGCCTCGTGGGGCCTCCTGGGCGCTTCATCGCGCCCTCTTGGGGCGCTCGCTGGTGCCTTTGGAGCGCTCTTCAGGACATCTAGGGGAAGATCGATACAAACAGAGAGGAGCTCCAATCAGCCTCGCCATTCTAGAGTGCCTAAAATCGCATCGTGGGCCCCTCTCGGAGCGCTCTTGGAGCGCTATTGGTGCCGTCTTGGGGCTCTCTTGGGCCCCGCTTGGGGCCCCCATTGGGCCCTCTTGGAGCCATCTTGGGGCATCGGAAGGCCATCGACGGCAAAAAGGCGAGATTGCACAAATCCTTAATTCCCACCCATATTGTGGTGTTGGGTGGTCTTCGTTTTGAAGAGACGGTCCCGCATTCCTCGCCTCTCCTTTCTTCCTCCCCCTCCTCCCTCATTCCCCTCCCCGCCTATGCCGACCGCATGTCTCTGTTTCGGCACGCCCTTCACACGCTCCGTGGCCTCATAGTGAGCCCGACCGAAGGCCTAGATGCCAGCGTTCGCATGCGCCCACCGCACCCATCTCGGCACGCCCCTCACGCGCTTCGTGGCCCCACAGAGGGCCCCACCGAAAGCCCGAATGCCAGCGCTCGCATGCGCCAGCCGCGCCAAGTGGGGCACGCCCCTCACTCGTCTCCGTGGCCCCACAGGGAGACCGCACCGAAGGCCCAAACGCCAGCGTTCGCATGCGCCCACCGCGCACATGTTGGTACACCCCTCGCGCGCTTCGCTGCCCCACGCGAAGCCCCACCGAAGGCCCAAATGCCAGCGTTCGCATGCGCCCACCGCATCAATGTTGGCACACCCCTTGCACATTTCGTGGCCCCACAGGGAGCCCCACCGACTGCCCAAATGCAAGCGCTGGCATGCGCCCACCGCACCAATTTTGGCACGCCCCTCACACGCCTCTTGGCTCCATAGCGAGCCCCACCGAATGTCCACATGCCAGCGTTCGCATGCGCCCACCGCACCCATTTTGGCACGCCCCTTACAAGCTTCGTGGCCCAATAAGGAAAGTACCGGGGGCCCACACTGCCAGCGTTCGCGTGCGCCCACCGCACCCATTGTGGCACGCCCTTCACACGTTTCGTGGCCGCACAGGAAGCCCCCCGAAGGCCCAAATGCCAGCGTTCGCATGCGCCCCCCGCACCCATTTTGGCACGCCCATTACACGTTGCGTGGCCACACAGGGGGGGCCCACCGAAAGCCCGAATGCCAGTGTTCTCGTGCGCCCGCCGTACCCATTTTGGCACGCCCCTCACACGTCTCTTGGCCCCGCAGGGAGATCCCACCGAAGGCCCAAATGCTCGCATGCGCCCACCGCACCTATCTTGGCACACTCCTCACACGTTGCGTGGCCCCACACGAAACCTCCACCGAAGGCCCACATGCCAGCGTTCGCATGCGCCCACCGCACCCATTCTGGCACGCCCCTCACACGTTTCGTGGCCATACAGGAAGCCATCCGAAGGCCTAAATGCCAGCGTTCGCATGCTTCCACCGCACCCGTTCGGGCACGCCCCTCTCATGTTTAGTCGTCCCACAGGAAGCCCCACGGATGGCCCAACTGCCAGCGCTGTCATGCGCCCACCGCGCACGTTTTAGCATACCTGTTCAAACGCTTCGTCGCCCCACAGGGAACCTCGCCCAAGGCCTAAATGCAAGAGTTCGCATGCGCCCACCGCACCCATTGTGGCACAGCCTTCACACGTTTCGTGGCCCCACAGGGAGCCCCACCGAAGGCCCAAATGCCAGCGTTGGCATGCGCCCACCGCGCCCATTTGGGCACGCCCCTCACACGCTTCGTGGCCCCATAAGGAGCCCCGCCGAACGCCCAAGTGCCAGCGCTCGCATGCGCCAGCCGCACCCATTTTGGCACGCCCCTCACATGCTTCGTGGCCCCACAGGGAGCCCCACCGAAGGCCCAAGCGTCAGCGTTCGCATGCCCCCACCGCACCCATTTTGGCACGCCCCCCACACGTTTCGTGACCCCACAGGAAGGCCCACCGCACCCATGTTGACAGGTCCCTCACACGTTTCGACGCCACATAGGGAGACCCGCCGAAAGCCCATAATGCCAGCGTTCGCATGCGCCCACCGCACCAATTTTGGCACACCCCTCACACGTTTCGGGACCCAACAGGGAGCCCTACCGAAAGCCCAAATGCCAGCGCTCGCATGCGCCCAATCCCATGAGGAGATCCCCCGAAGGCGATGCCCCCAACGACGGTACTCACAACTGCATATGGTTGGGTCCTTCGCCAGGATCATTGTTCGACAGGGATGGTGAGGGGGTGGCCGCATCGGGTTGGTTGCGCATGCTCCGAATTTGGAGGCTGAGTGCGTTTTGTATTGTTATTTGAAAGGGATGGTGGGGGGGGGGAGCATGGTTCCTGGTTGGCTGCTGGTCGCCTGGGGGGAGGGGGGGTATACTAGTAGGGAACAGTGATAAACCCCTCCCCGAACGGGAAGAAGGGGGTTGGAAGAGGAAACTCCCTAGACCACCTACGCCCAGAGGGCTGGTGCGACTATCTTGGCGAGTGTTTGCGGGTGCGTGCGCCGTAACACCCTACTGACCACCCCGCCGTTACTTCGCACTGTTTTTGGACAGCGGTGGGAGGGTCGACGTGTTTCTCGATGCGTGCTGTCACATATGCTGTCGCACCTAGCACACTCTGCGCGTGCAGTGGACACCTGGCGAACGTGAAGCCCGCGGTGGACCTGTCGGGCCTTGGCAGGACTTGGTTTAGTGTGCCCTGTTTTCGTGATGTGTAACGGGGCCCCCCCCCACCCCAGTCCAGTAACCGGAACTGCTGTCACCCGAAAAACACCAGGTGCGGCAGACCTGGTTTGGTGATTCCAATCAATATTTTGGATCTCGGGGCCCAATCACCAACGTGCTCCCCTCAACCAGGGTCCTGGCTATACCCGAATCTGGCGCACCAGGCGCGCCTGGCACGCTTGGGTCCCTGCTGTGCCCGACCAAACACCACAGGATGGTTGGGAACAATACAAAGCACACTTTGGAGCAATGTCTGGAGTCATGCTCGTGAGGCCCGCGAGCACTGTGTATTGTTTTTCCAGACCATCCTGTGGTGCTGGGTCCTCGCTTTGAAGAGATGATCCCCGCGTTCACTCCTCCCGCTGTCCCCTGCCTCCTCCTCCTCCTCCTCCTCCTCCTCCTCCTCCTCCTCCTCCTCCTCCTCCTCCTCCTCATCATCATCATCATCATCATCAGCATCATCAGCATCATCATCATCATCATCGTCATCGCCCGTTTCAGCACACCCCTCACACCCCTCATGGCCCCATAGGGAGCCCCACCAAAGGCCCAAGTGTCAGCGTTCGCATGCCCTCACCGCACCCATGCTGGCACACCTTTCACACGTTTCGAGGCCCCACAGGGAGCCCCACCGAAGGCCCAAATGCCAGCGCTCGCATGCGCCCACCGCACCCATTTTGGCACGCCCCTCACACGTTTCGGGGACTCATGGGGAGCCCCACCGAAGGCCCAAAGGCCAGCGTTCGCATTCGCCCACCGCATCCATGTTAACACACACCTTTTACACGTTTCGTAGCCCCACTGGGAGCCCCACCGAAGGCCCAAATGCAAGCGTTCGCATGCGCCCATCGCACCCATGTTGGCATGGCACACCCCGGGGCCCATAAGGAGCCCCCCCGAAGGCCCAAATGCGCCACTTTGGCACACCCCTCGATCGCTTCGTGGCCGCATAGGGGGATCCACCGAAGACGGTACTCACAACTGCGGTACGTATCACTGCCTGTGGTTGGGCCCTTCGCCATGCTATGCTTCTCTCCTCGCGGCGCGCGGGCCTGGGTTGGTGGCCGCCCTTCCCGCGGCCCCTTGCCGCCCTCCCCGCGTGGCGACCGTGCTGGCCCCAAGCCGCCCCCCTTCGGCGGGGTGGGTGGCTCTCCCCTGTGGAGGCGCTGCCGCGGCCTGCGGCTGGTGCAGCACCCCAGCCACAGCTCGTGGCAGAAGGTCTTCCCTACCGCACGCTCCGCGTCGCAAGTCCAGAGAGAGAGAAGGTGCGAAGTGGAAAGCCCTTGCCGAAAATTACAGAGCCTCCCCAGCTGAGGCGGCCCGCCATAGGGAGCTCCACCGAAGGCCTCAGCGGCTGCGTTCACATGGCGGCACCGCGCCCAGTTCGGCACCCCTCTCACGAGGGTCGTGGCCCCACGGGGAGCTCCACCGAAGGCCCCAGTGGCAAAGTTTGCATGGCAGTACCGTGCCCGTGTCGGCACACCCATCACGAGGATCGTGGCTTCATGTGGAGCGCCATCGAAGGCCTCAGCGGCCGAGTTCGCATTATGGCACCGCACTAATTTTGAGCACAGCACTCACGAGGATCGTGGCAGCCCACCGAATACCCCAGCGGTAAAGTTCGCACAGCAGCACCGCGCCCATTTCGGCACACCCTTCACGAGGTCGTGGCCTGTGGGGAACTCCACCGAAGGCCCAGTGGCTCCGTTTGCACGGTGGCACCGCGCTCACTGCGGCACACCCATCACGAGGATCGTGGCCCCACGGGGAGCTCCACCGAAGGCCTCAGCGGTTCGCATGGCGGCACCGCGCCCGTTTCGGCACACCCCTCACGAGGATCGTGGCGCCCCACAGGGAGCTTCACCGAAGGCCCCCAGTGACTGCGTTCGCATGGCGGCGCCACCCCATTTCGCCACATCCCTCACAGCATTGTGGCCCCATAGGGAGCTCCACCCAGACAGGTACCCACAACGCGGTATTCACAATTGCACGTGGTCGGGTCTTTCGCCGGGATGATATGTTGGACAGAGCTGGTGGGCCCGCGCACACAAGCACCCGAAGAATCATGATGACTAAATAACACTGCGGAGTGATCACGGGGCGCCCGCGCATGGTCCAAGATATTACCACAATGTGTTCTGTGGCTCATTCTTTTGGCATCGCTCGGACGTGTGCATTTTTCCTTCGGCGAGGACCATCGAGGAGTATCCTGGATCACTTGGCGAAAAAGCCACGCACGAAATCAAAAAAAGTACAGGGAATGGACGTCCGAGCGATGGCCAGCCCCACGCAATGGAATCTGATGCCCCCCCGCAGTCCCTGTCAAAAAACAGTACGGATGGGCCGCAGGGGGCGCCTAAACATGATCCAGATGCTGCAGCAACGAGAAGCATGTGTGTAATGTTTGTTTGACCAGGGTTGCACGGGGGTGTTGGCATTGGCCCGAGCGAGTGCGGGAGGGGGCGTTCATTAATAAGGAGGGGTGGTTAGCCCCCCCCCCCGAAAGGGAAGAGTATTGGAACAGCAAGCGCGCTAGACCACCTCCGCCCGAAAGGGCTGGTGGGGTTCTGCCCCGCACGCACCCCGCAATGGGCCCCGGACATAGGGTCCATACCCTTCTCAAGGGTGGCCTTCGGTGCGGGTCCACTAGGGCTTCCCCCTCGGCGCTGGTCTACGCGCTTAAGTTTGCCCCATCCTACCGCGGCCTTCCAAAGCCGCGCACCAAGGGTACAGTCAGGACGCTGAAATAAGGACCGCTTCGGGGTCGGAAGGGGCTCGCTGCTCCTTCGGTCGCTCCGCCGGGGCTGCTCTTGTAGCCCTCCTCGTGCACAGGGGCGCTTTGGCATCAAGACGAGGTTCCGTTCCTTCATTTGCGTTCCTCCCTTCAGCAGCCCTCTCTGTAGCCGAAGGCTCGCGGGCCTCCTTTTGCTGCCACCGCCGTGGGCCAGGGGCGGCGGGGCCGGTCGTGCGTGGAGCCCTGCCAGGGGGGGCGGGGCGGTCGGCGCCTCGCACCGCAGGGCACCAGAGGGAGGCCGGCCGTGCCTTGCCTGTGGCTTTAGGGGGTAAACAAACCTACCTCGCTTTTGACCACCCTCGCTTCCAAGAGATACCAAGCGATGCCAAACTGCGGCCTGTACTGGTCAGGCCGCTTGACGAGGAGGCGCGCGGTATGACTTGGTTTTGCCTGGAAGCGAAAGCGGGGTAGGTAACGCACGCTCTGAGGCTTGGCATCGCTCGGACGTGTGCATGTTTCCTTCGGCGGGGGCCATCGAGGAACGTCCTTGATCATTCGGCGAAAAACACGCACACACACACACACACACACACGAAACCGAACAAAAATACAGGGAGTGGACGTCCGAGCGATGGCCAGGTGGTGGTGGTGGCGAAAGGTAGATCCACCACAGGCTGCCCAGCCAGCTCGCAGGCGCGATCCTCTCTCCAACCCGCCGGCTTCGAGACCTGGCGAGGTACTGCTGATTCTGGCGCTCGTGGCGGGTGCAGCGGAGATTTTGCTCCGACTTGGTTGCCGCAGGCGGGGGGCTGTAGCTGACTCGCTCGCGACTTAGGATGCTTGACTCTAGGCCATGTGTAGACTTGGTTGCACGATCGCTGCTAAAACAGCGGCCCTTCCCGGGATGGAGGAGCAGGAGGAGCCATGGGGAGCGCGCGGAAACGGTGAGTAAGATCCAGCACTTGACATGCGGGTGGAGAGGGAGAGTGGGAAAGTAGGGGAGGAGGGGGGGAGGGGGGGGTTGAAACCACCCCTCCCTCCGTCACGGGGGACGGGGGGGGGCGGGGGAGGGATTGGAAATTTCCCCTCCCCCCTTCAATCCAGGGGGGGCGAAGGGTTCTGGTTGCAACCCCACCCCCTGTCCAAACGCCCGGAGAACGTGCTCTTTCGTCAGTTCCCATCCCCTGACTGAATACATCCCAGAAGAAGTCCCCAGCTTAGTTGCCGTTGGCCTGCCCCCGGGCTTGGCGCATTCCAGCGCCTTGACGGGCACCTGGGCGACTATAAATCCCTGGCTCTCTGTCCCACGGGGATGTCGATCATGGTTCTGAGTGCGACCCGCAATCTTTCGACCAGGGTATGGCAAATACAAACTAAAAGTGGGGCTGATTGCCGTGTTACATAGATCCTAAGATCGTAAGCGCTGACCGTATGTTGCAATCAAGTGTAAAACGTCGCGCATGTGTACATGATTACTTCGGCGTCGGAACAATCGTATTCAACGTATATTGGGGTACACATTTTTCTTCGTCTTCCCCGCCGTTTTTTTCGGTTGCCGCATATTTCGTATCCCATGTGACAGATTCACTCGCTGATGATATTATCATAGCGCTGCAACGCACTGCTGTATAATACATACCGCTGTATGGTTCTGATGGGTAAGAATATTTCGTTGGTCGCAGTATATTGATTCTATGGGTGTTTAAGATTTGTTGGTTGATATTCGGTCGAGTACTTTCCATATCTATTATTATGTTGCTCAGCGCCCTTGGCAAAGAGAGTGTTCTTTCGAACCACATAGAAGTCGAAAATGATAAGATGTAGCATGTAATTCGCGCCCTCAACCGTGATTATGTCACTGCCGCCGTGCAATTGTATATTGTGATACCTGTTTCAACGATTACTGCGATGCGAGATACCAAATGTTGTGTTTAGTTTTTGTTAACAACAATGTTCTACGTGGTTTAATAGTGCAAACACAACATGCGAATAATGGAATACTATAAAGTCCAAAATGGACCGTTAAGTGAGATACGCGTGCACTCAACGGAGGAGGAGGAGGAGAGGAGGGGACGAGAGAGGGACCAGGACAGGGCGATGGTATTTTCATGGCAGCGTGGCGACGCGCATCTCCGCCGAGCGTGGGCCCTGGTGGCCCCACGCTCAACGCGAGCGCGTGGGCCCTGACGGCCCGCGCGCTCGCGCTCTGGCACGCCTGCGGCCGCTCGGCCGACGCAGGCGTCTGGGAGCAAAGCGGGGTGGGTGGGCACCCGCGCGTCGGCCAGAGCCGAACGCTACGGACCCAAAATGGCTACCTGAGCCCACACCCCCTCCCACTTAACCTGCAGTCTACAACCAATCAGACTATACAAGTTAAGTGAGATACGCGTGCACTCAACGGAGGAGGAGGAGGAGAGGAGGGGACGAGAGAGGGACCAGGACAGGGCGATGGTATTTTCATGGCAGCGTGGCGACGCGCATCTCCGCCGAGCGTGGGCCCTGGTGGCCCCACGCTCAACGCGAGCGCGTGGGCCCTGACGGCCCGCGCGCTCGCGCTCTGGCACGCCTGCGGCCGCTCGGCCATGAGAAAAGAAAGACGCAGCCGCGCGCGCGGGGGGGCGCCCCGCCCGAGTGCGAGGGCGGGATCAGAGGCTGCAAGAGCCTCGCGCGCGCGGCCACTTGCCTGCAACCTTGAGGCCTTCCGCGCCCGCGCACCCAGAGCGCGGGCGCGGCGCGTGCGCGATGCGCGCAAAAGAACCGAAAAGGGTGGCGGCGCACGAGGCGCCGGGCGCAGAGCGCAAGTGTGGCCCCGACCGCACGGCGCGCAAGACGCGCAGCACGGCCGGGTCCAGGAAGCACGCGACGTGCGCGCGGCGTTAAACTCCTCCAAGAGGGAGGATCGCAGGCGCCACCTGCGCACCGTAGGCTAAAAGAAAGAGATCGCAGGCGCCACCTGCGTACCGTAGGCTAAAAGAAACAAGCTCGCAGGCGCCACCTGCGCACCGTAGGCTCAAGGATCGCAGGCGCCACCTGCGCACGGTAGGCTGAGAGGAGGGCCGACTCACTCACAGGCCGCCGCCGTCAGCCCGCGCCCGCGATGCCGCGGGCGCTGGCGTCGGGGTACGGGGGGGGAGCTCCACGCCTAGATGGAGGGCGTGTTCCCCCGGCGGTCGCGGCTCTCGCCTCCGCTGCGGTCTCCGCCGCGCTCACTGGGGTCCCGGGGGCTGCTGCCATCGCCGCCCCTCGACGCGCGACCGTCCGCGCTGGGCCAGTCGCGCTCACTCCGGCCGCGGCTGCCCTGGTCGCCCTTGGAGTGGCCGCCCTTGCCGCTCTTGTCGCCCTTGCCGCCGCTCTTGGAGCCCTTGGCGGCCTTGCCGGAGTACTTGCCCTTGACCTTGCCGCCCTTGCCGCCCTTGTCGCCCGCGCCCTTGCCACGCCAGGCTGGGATCCCACCCCCGCCCGCGGCAGCCTCCGCGGCGGCAGCACGCCGCCGCTTTTTCTCCTGCTCGTACCAGCCGCCGCGAGGAGCGCGAAGCTGCCCAGCGTGCTTCCCGGTCTTACGCCGCGTGCGGCCGGGCGGGGTGTCGCCGCGCCGCGCCCACGCTGGGTCCCGCGCCAGACTGTGGCTGGGCGACCTCTCGCGCTTGGGCCGGTGGCGGCTGGGCGACCTCTCACGCTTGGGCCAGCTGAGGTCGCCCGGCGGGCGGTCCCCCTCAGCCCCCGCACCCGTGGCACCCGTGCTGGGGCGCTCGCCATGGCCGACACTGGGGCCCGGCGCCTCCCGCACGGTGTGGCCGCTCCGCCGGGCCTTCTCCACCACCGTCTTGGGTTTGCCGAAGGCGACGCGGCAAGCCTCGCAGTAGCTCACGTCGCACCCCTTACAGTGCCACCGCAGGGCTCCGCTGTTAGCTCCGCCCGCGGGGCACATCTCGCAACCCCAACCGTCTCCCGGGTCAAAGGAGCTCCAGCGCATCTTGAGTGCGCATGTCGGGCAGGCAGGCGGCTGGATGGTCGGCCCATCCTCCCCGTCGCTGCCTGGGTCAGGGCCGCGAGGCCGGCTCGCCCACTCCGTGACCACCGTGCACGGGTCCGTCTTGTAGAACCGATAGTTCGACCTCATGCACTCCCGCGCGCGCTTTGCGTCAGCGCGGCGCTGGAACTCCACCAGCACGCACGGCTCCCGCTTGTGGCGGTGGTCGTACAGGAAGGCGATGTGTTTGACGACCCCGAAGGGCACGACCACCTGCCTGACCACCTCGGCATCGACGTGGTGCGGTACCCGCTCGATGCGGATGATGGACTCGCCCTCGTCGTGCTGGTCACTGGGCTGCTGCTGGGCGCCCTGGCGCTGCTCCTCCTTGCGCCTACGGCGGCTCCTCGAGCGCGGCTGGCGCTGGGGCGGCCCGTCCCCCGCGCCTGGCGCCTCCTCCACCTCGGTCTTCACCTCGAAGGACCGCGGCGGCGCCCCCCCGCTCTTGGGCTTCAGGACGGCCTCACGCTTCACGATGTCGGCCTTCGGGGGGGCGCCGCCCGTCTTGGGTTTCAAGACGGCCTCCTCCTCCTGTCCCCTGCGCCCGCGATCGCGAGGCGCATCGCGCTCGCGATCGCGGCGCCTCGCGCGCGAAGGCGAGCGCAAGGGCGCAGGGCGCCTCTCGCGCTTGCGGACCTCTTCGGCGAGGCGCTCCTGGCCCGGCGACCGCGCGGGCCGCGGGCGCGCCTTTGGAGCGCCTTTGCTCTGGCGCCGCGCGGCAGCCTGGATGGCCGCACGCGCCAGCGCCGCGGTGACCGCGTCCTCTCCCGCCTCGAGGACCGGGGCTGGGGTCGACTTCCCCTCGCCCCTGCTCGAGGCGTCGTCGTCGGTGAGCTCCACGACCGCCTCCGCGTCCACTGTGCGCATCATGTCGAGCAGCCCCTTGTTGTGCTTGCAGAGCTCGCGGAGCTCCGGCATGGGCTGCCCCTGGAACTGGGCCAAGGCGAACGCCAGCTTGGCCGCCTGGCGCTGGGCCTTGATATTCGGCCCCGCGCCCACCCCCCACGCACCCCGCTTGCCGTCGACGATCACCAGCTGGCCGTGGTCCTCGCTCGCCCCCGCGGCCAGGCAAGCCGCCGCGATGCACGGGGCTGCTTCGTGGTCGTGGTTGACCATCTCGACGAGGTCCTCGCTGTCCAGCTCGTTTACCACCGTGTACAGGATGTTGTGGGCGGCACTCCGGAGCTCGTCCGACAGCGCGGCCCCCGAGACGACGACGCCGAGGGGGTTCACCGCCATGATGCTGTAGTCATGGCCACGCGCCTTGCTCTGGTCCGGGGCCACCAGGCCCACCAGGAATCCCATGATGCACGCTGCCGGAGCGCGGGGCGACGGCGCGGCTGGCGCGCGGGGCTGGGGTGCGCGCGCTGCTCGCGCGCCTCGCTCTGGAGTGGGAGATGGCTGCGGATGAGAGGACCAAGAGGAGGTGGGCGTGCCTGGGGCGATCGGGAGCGGTAGCGAAAGGGGGGTCGAGGGCGAGAGGTCCACCGGGATACCCCCACAACGCGAAGCCCCCGCCCTGACCTGAATACCCGTGGGACCCGCCTGCTGCTTTCCCACACGCCCATTAACTCCTCGCCCTGGCTCGTATCTCACCAATTCCTCCTCTCCTTCCTCCTCCGTAGTTGACCCTGCTCGCGCCGAAGGGCGCGCCCAGGGGGGGCGCCCGGGCGCCCAGGCCGGGCGTTCCGAGGGCCTCAGATCGCTCCCAAACTGGGGCGGATCGCTCCCGGCCAACTGGTCGGGGCGGGCGCCGGTCACGGCGCCGTCGTCACCGCGGGCGTC